TGGAAACATGGAAGGGTCTGTTTCCTTAAGCCTGCAGAGAGAAAGAAGAAGCAGAGGGAAATAGAAAGTATACAAACGATATACAAATGATTTCATAATGCCTCTTTTTTTTTTTCTCTCTCTTTTTTTTTTTTTCATTTCTGTTGAGCTATAAGGGTCTGTTTTTTTGATAGCTTCAAAAAATACTGAAATAGCATTTTAGCAAGATTATTTCACAAAAAACTAATGCTACACCAGAGTAATATATCAATTTTTGCTGTCCATAGAAATATCAAACCTGTGCTACATTAAACCAAAGTGCCCTATTGAACTAAACTAACTCAGGGGAATATTTTGACCAAGGACAATTATGAAAATTGGCATAAATCTGTTAAAAATTTTTGTTCCTGTTTTTATAAAAGAGTAAAAGGACCTTATACTGAAGGAGAAATAAACACATTTTCCTACTTCTAATAAAGGTAGCATACACTTGTTGCCTACTTGTTGTAACTAACAGTATTTCAGTATTACCTGTATCATCTACATCTACATCATCATCTACATCCATATCATCAGTATCTTCTACAACATAATCAAAGACATAACCACAGCTGGGAAAGGCACATCTAAACTGGCTTTAAATTTGCTAGTATGGATGGATGCTAGCTGGTTGCAGCAGTGCTGTGTGTAATGAAGCAATGCATGTAATCATGCAATCATTCATTGCCAAAGTGATAAACAAGGGTAGTGGGCAATGGAGCAGTCAGAAAAAAGGGTAAAGATGGCCTGTCTTCTAACAGACAATATTACTGTGTTCCCTCCTTTATCCTTCCAAGGACCCTTTCCTTGATTCTTTCAATCCCTTTGAGCAACCTAAAAGTCTTAAATAACATGTTGCCAGCTACTTCACATTATTCTGGGGGGAGTCAGGGAATATTAAGGTTAAATCACAGGCTGTTCCTCATGCCAAGTACATGCTGCCTGGGCCTACACATTCACACTGGTTCCTGGATGAGTTTTGCAGCCTGCACTGGACCCCACGCTGGCATGCCCTGCTGCTGGCTCAGATAAGCGTACATAGAGCACAGTAACACCCCTGAGTGACTATGGCAGTACATGACCCTGAGCATATTTTCTTGTACTTAAGGGAGAACAGTCCAACCTTAGCAGGGTGCTGGTCCGATCAAGCAGAAGGAGACCACAACAATTTATTTTACAATTATTCACAAACATATTCCTTCTAGCCAAAGAGTTTGAGTCGTCAGGAAGGGGAAAAAGTCAACTGCACATCTCTGCACAATGACGTGGCCAGGCACAGACCGGCACAGGAATGACAGATGGAAACAAACTAACTGCTAACATTTGTTCACAAACGATTAGTAAATGCTTACAAGTAATAGATACACTCGCAGAGACTGGCATTTGGGAATGATGCGCGCACACACACACATGCACACACACACAACAGGCTTAATTTCCTGGCTAGTATTTTTGTGACAAATAATTGAGTGTACCTGGTCACATGTTCCTCTGCAGTCAGAAGTCAGAATGCAACCATAGCCAAACTCAGCCTTGGTTTAACACAGGAATGGTAGGGGTGTTTTTGGCCTGTAATTGTTATTACTATTAATGATCAATAATATTTATAATATTTATAATAATAATAATTTTCGGTTTTGGCTGGCCCTCAAATGCTTTACTAGTGTTTACAGGAATGTCAGAGATCCCTTATGGAAGCTGACACTTAGGGAATTGAAGTGGCCTTTGTCCTTTAGAAAAGATAGGCTGAATTTTTGTTTGGTTGGTGATACACTCTCGTGACACAGCTATTCTATCTTTCTTTCTCATTGAGCAGTACTTTTTTTTTTTCCTCTTCATAGTCTGAAAATCTTACACACCCTAGTACAAAAATATTTGGACCCTTTAACAGATGTGTGCTTTATGAGATGGACCCCGAGTGGGCACAAGGGGAAGCACAGGATGGCTGAAACATTGAAAGGGGAAGCAAAAGCTGGAGACAACCCATTTCCTCTCTATGGGAGTAGGAGAGAGATAAATGGCTGGGAATTTTCCAACATAACAGGTTTTCGGCAAAACATTTCAGTTTCAACAGAAAGACCTGATTCATTGAAATAGAAATGTTTTACAAAAAAGCATCTTTTTCAGTGACCTTTTAACAGAACTTAGGCAGGGTGCCACTGAAACCCACCTGTTACTCTGCTGACTCAGTTGGAGGGCTCACCATACTTGCCATGTGAATCATGTCAAAATCAGAGACCACAGGACTTCTGAACTCCCGAGCTGCTCTACCCTCCCATGCCACCTGCCCACATCACCCGCTAGGGAAGATGGAAGTCCATGTCTGCCCACAAGTCATACCTGTTCCAAGACATCAGGGTTTGTAAGGATGATCCCAGTCTTGCCAAACCTCCCCTGTTGTCAGCTGTCCTTTTCCCTTGAAGTTGGACTAAGGCATGAATTTTTGAAATTTTGTCCTATGGAATCCAAATGATTGTAAATCTGTCTGCCATTGCTGACAAGCTAGTCGATTCATGTTAGTATTCTTGCTGAGAAGAAGAATTTATGTCAGACTTGAGCTTGTCTTAGTCTACCTGTTCATCCTTGGATCATGTGCCTTTACCTGTAAGGCAGAAAAGCTCTCTCTTTTCCAGGGCATGTACACAAGGTGCACTCAAGCTCTCCCCAGCTAAATCTGCATAATTTCTCCTATGATTAACATTAGATGTACTGGTCTAAGGTCTCACTTACCTTTTGGCTATTCTCCTCTGTTCAGAATGTTTTTAAAGAGTTTACAAACATTTAGAAAAGTGGTGCAGAGACTTCCTCAGCTAATTCATCTGAGGCACTTAATGCAAATTACTGAGGTGTTGTTTTGACTCATCAGATACTCAGTTTTATCTTTTTATCTTTCTCTTTTGTAAATGGTAAAGTTTTGGTTGAAGATGCATCATCAGATGGGATACATCCTGCTTGTGCTTGCCTAGTACACAGAAAGAAAAGCTAATACGCAGTTCTGCCTTTTCAGCCTCATTACATTTGCATTTCAGGTTCCTCGTCATCACTGGCTGGTGCAATACACTATTTGTACTAGCAAACTGTAAAAGGCTCGTGGTCACTGGTGCCTAGGCAACAGCTGATTTTTTAGGTCAGTGATTAACTCTTTTTTTTTTTTTGTCTACTGGAGCAAGCTGAATATTAAATTACCCCTTGCCAGGGAACAGGACCTTTGGGTTGAAAAAAAATCATGTCCTCTATTTTTAGAAACACAGTGGATATTTTAGTGATGTCCAGAGTTAGGTTATCTGTGATAACTCACTGGATGCAAACATTAGAAGAGACTGCTAGGAAAAAAATCACCAAGCGAGGAGATTGAACTTAGAAAACACACAACTTTTACTAGGGTTTTTCTTTTTCTCTCCAGAAAAGTGGCGTTACTTGGGAATTGCTCTTGTCCTGAATATATGTTTACCACTATATTCAATCTTTAAACTTCAGTCTTCAGTTAACTTCACTTGAAATCTTATGAGACATAGCAGTAGCATGACCTTCCCTCAAGTATTGCAAGGGACAAAAGCTGAGGCCAGGAGATACCCTCTGTCTTTGTCATGTCCGATCTGGAAACTATTTTTAAATGGTATAGAGGCAGATACTAGACACAGGATTTTAGCCTGTTTCTATTCAAACATGAAATAATAATAATAATAATAATAATAATAATAATAATAATAATAATAATAATAATAATAATAATAATAATAAAGTATGCCATGCTAAAAAGGGGATGGTCTGAGGCAGTATGTAATTTTTAATTCAGAAAGTTGCTTGTCTACCTTCGTCATCATATGACCCATAAAATTAAAAAATACTAATTAGAATTAAGATTGCTGTTCAGTGTGGCTTTGCAGACCTTTGCATACTTCCTGGGCTAGGTGACCAGCCTGATCTGCTTTAAAAAAAAAAAAAGTAAACATCCATGAACTGAAGAAATAGTGAGAGGTAAGAGGTAAATCATTTCAATCTGCTTGTCCTCTCTGCTTCCGAGGCAGAGTGGAAAGGAGCAGAGCTGCGAGAAGGTCGGCAGAGGCTGAGGCCACAGCTGCCTCCAGCGCCCAGCCCAGGCTGCAGATCTGAGCTCACAGCGAGCACTGAGAAATGCTCAGGTTTTGAGCCTCAAAAATAAGAAGTGTGGGGACAAGTTATGTATGCAGTACTTGGAAACTGTTAGGGCAGATGACAGAGCTACAGTTCACCTCATAGGGTGGTTGTGGCAGGACTAAGAGCTGGATGCTTGAAGGCTGCTGAGCATTTCATACCTTAAATGCATTATCTGGTGTTCCCTCTGTAATGTCAGAATGTGACAGGCTTCGTCGTGTTTCCTATTTCTTTTTAAAGACAATGACAAACTTTTATAAATGGAGCAACTCGCAGTGGCCTTGAATCTCGCAGGGAAAAAGGTCCGAGCAGCCCCAGGACATTGACTAAAATCAGAGGGGTGGGTCAGCTACTGCCCCCACCCTCAGAAAGACACAGTTCTTGCTGGTGAATCAGGCTGCTCTGTAAGGTAAACCAGCCCTGCTCGTCTTCGGTTACTACAAGCCTCCGGGAACCCAAAGCGTAGGGGGGCCTCTGCTGCTGGATGCTGGTAGGGCTGTCGCTGCAGTGGAGCAAGCCCTGAGGATGTTTCTCCCAAGATCCTGCTCCTCACACGGAGCTGCAGGCAGGTGTGGATCCACCTGCAGCTGTGCCTTACAGCAGCCTGCGGGACATGTCCTTGGGCAGTGCTGACTCTGACACCAGCAGCTTTCTGTTCTCTGCCTAACTGCTTTCACAGAAATGCTCATCTTCAGCCAAAACTTGCTCCGTCCTAAACAGCCTCTATTCCAGTAAACCTCCTTTTCAAAGTTGAAGTACCAAGTCCCATCGGTGTGTGTGGAACAAAAGGAGTGACAATAACACAACTAAATATAAGGGCAATTGAGTTCACTTAATAAATGAACAAAAATGCTGTTTTGCTTCCGTGGTTTTCAGTCATGATGTTCAGAGGAAACATTCACCCAGGACTGAATAATCACATTTTCTGCCCTTGCCCCATACAGAATTCCTCTATAAAAGAAGCGGTGTTTAACTTGAGTAGTGAAAACTTTGTAAAAGCAGAGCATTTTTCTAGATAATAGGATTGATGTATATGACCTCTTCCCAAGTAGTTCTCTTTTAAGAAATGTTTCCAATTTGTACTTTACCCACAGTTACTCTCCTTAAAATAAATAAATAAATAATTCTTCCAATATCGCTCACAAAGATCTTCCCCTCTGTATAATCTTGTAGACCCTCACTGGGTCTGTAGACCTACACTCAGTGGAGTCCCCAAGACACAAAGCAAAGCAGTAAAGAATCCTGGCATTAAACACTTCTCATATGTAAATAAGAGATACTGAAACTAACAGCTATACCATGTCCCTGTATAAGTTATTACTGGTCTTGAAACTCAAAACTCTCTTCCAGAAATAAATCTGAAGGCTTTTTTTCTTGAGAGTGGTTTAATCTCACGGTGTCATTGGCCAGTGTGTGAGCAGAGCATCGCTTCCCTTTTCCACCTGTGTGATGGAGGGAGCTCATCCCATTCCTCCACATTGCACGCTCTGACTTCTCTGGAAGAAGAAATGAGCAGAGAGGAGGTGTTGTGGAGCTTCCTGTAGACCTCTGACCCATGGAAGACGCAGATAGCAAGATGGGTGCAGATCTGCCCTGTGCTGCAAAGCAGAGAGGGGTAAGGAAGTGGCTGTGCATATAGCACCACCTCCCGTATTCTCAGCAGATATTGCAGAATTCACTGTTATTGAGTACAGAGGTATCTGATTTACTGGAGATCATAGCAGGAGTACAGTCTCCTTCCCAAAACAGCAGTGACAACTTATAATGTCATTTGTATTCAGCCAAGTTGTTCTATTTATAATAACCCTTCAGGTGACCCAGTCATATACTTGGTACAGCACTTCTAAAGAAGGCGATTACTTTCTGTCTTTCCAGTGTATGAAGTAGTGCACTATATAAATAGTGCAGCTTAACTACCATCTATTTAGAATGTCAGTTAGGATCAGGTAGTGTTTATAAACTCTGGATTTTTCACAGTTTTTATCCAGGACTTTTCAAATTTGCATCAGGCTGAAATTTGGCGTGTAAGCTGTCAGCACAGATGTTAATTTTATTCCAAAAAGAGTGTGTTAAAGCTATTAAAGGTGTCAAATGGCTTATTTATGCAATAGTTGCAGATGTCTTAGTTTTTTGGCTCTTTTAACTGTACAAAAGCTTACTGTAGCACCTTCTTCCCTCCCTCCATTCTCTGACCTTACAGCCTTGATCAGTGAGGAATAAGATGACAGGTTATAGCACTGTAGTAATAACCCAAGGGCAGTGTCCCCTGACAAAATTTGTTAGTAACACTCATTTGCAGTGAAAAAGAACTATCCTTATGCATTCACTGTAAGGGGAAAAAAAAAAAAAAAAAGACAAAACACCTGAAGTGAACACAACAATACCTGTAGTGATGACATTACTGACAAAATCCTCAGCACAATGGAGGGCCTCTAATGCTCCCATGTAGGCAAGGAAGAGCCTCCTCTGAGTGATTACCGCAGGGCACTGCTCTACATCCACAATCACATTTACAAAGTATTAAAGTCCAAGGCATCACAGTTAAGAAAACAGATCTATGCCAACAGAAGTTACATTCAGTGATCTACAACACTGGATGGCCAGAAACTGCCCCTCACATAATAAACCAAACATATAACCACAGGTGAAGAAAATTGCTCCATTTCACACAGGTAAAGAAATGTCTTCTGCCACATTCTGAAGTTATCAAATCTGAGTTCTAGTAGGCTAGCAAATGAAATCAGGAGATTGTATAATACAGGACAGAGTGCCCTGCCAACAGTGGCAGAAGAGGGCAGGTCAGTGTAAACATGATGTACACCCTGCTCACTTTCTTTTCTGAGCACCTTGGAAGACAGGAGGGGAGAGAGAACACAGCTAATGAGGTCCCATCTGGTCAGGGACCTGCCTCAAGCACAGGCTTCCATTCGTAACAAATGGAGGGAATGCACATGAGTATTTGTAAACATGTTTAAATGTAAATCAAAAGTGCCCCCTATTATGATACCTAGGTTTTAATTAATTTTCTAAATTTTAAGAATACTTACAGGATGAAAAGATTGTGATGAGTCTTCAGTTCAACTTACTCACTTAATATGACTGTCAAATTCATAACTAATTTTTTTGTTTTTTTTTCAGTAAGCAACATACTCTTGTTAGAAGCACTTGTGCCAATACAAGGTAATGCGCATGATTACTTATTTTTTTCTGGCCCTTTTGGGAGGAACATTCCACATATTTGTTAAACAAAGAGAATTTACCAAAATGGTTACAGAAAAAAAATATATCTTTTAAAAATTTAGATTCTTTAGTTCCATTGAATTTAACTAGCCACAAATATGAATCAAGACCAGTCACAAGCTTATAAATTTGAAGCATTTGCTCATACAAAATGCAATATTCCCACTACTCTCTTTTTTTTTTCTCCTCTGAAAAATGACAGAATTTCAACATTCATTGGCTATATCTCTTTACAGACGTATTCATCAATACCTTTTCCTGTAAGAATTACTCCATATTATATTCAGCTACATCAAAATAATAGGTAACAACACCATATCAAGCTCTACTCAGCAGCCAAGATTTAGCAATGCACACCTACAGTAATCGTGACACGCAAACATTTTTGTCCTTCCTGTCAGAACGAAGCAATGCAAAGAACCTGATTTAATTTCTTTGGGTTTCAGACAGCTGTGGATGAGAACTAATTTATGGTCAGGTTTTGAAATCATGCCAGCAGGAGCTTGCTTTTCAAACCAATGCTCCAGTATACTGTTAGGAAGGTCACATATCTCGTGTCATCATTTGATGGGAACCTTGTCAGGAGGTCTCCTCCTCTCCTGCTACAGCTGTCCTTGTGAAATAGCAAACATTTTCTGGTCATTATGTACTCTGTGAATTATTTCTTTAAAAGCTTATTTACAGAAAACTCAGGGATCCACTTTCTTAACACTACAGCCCTAGAGGTTGAGCCAAATCATGTCTGTTAAAAAAACCACCTCAGTATACAAATCTGAGTGGTTTTTAACAATTTCAAAATGATAAATTAATTTTAAATTAAAAAAAATAAATATCAAGCCCACAAGAAAAATTAAAGATTGCAATTTTTTTTTCCCTAACATTTTTCCTAACAGGACAGCTTTCTAGCTCCCAAGAATTTCTTTTTTACCCGTCTTCAAATGAGACTAATATAAGCTGGGGTTTTCCTTTGTAAGTTATTCATGCTGCTGATAGACAGCAGAGGCTGTCTGTTCATGAATGATTTCAGGTAACACAAACCAGCTCTGGTGTTGAAAGAAGCTGTCTACCTTCCCCACCTTCCAGCTACTTGCTTTCATCCCACCACTTCCCTTCCGTTGTGTTTCCAGAGATGTTTTTTGTGGTCACCCGGAGATCCGGCTATGCTGTAACAAGGGGAAAACCAAAGAAAGTTGGTAGACCATTCATGAAAAAACATCCCAGTGCTGGGAGGGCCAGCAACAGGGCTGAGCACAGTGGTTCTGCTGTGCCAGTCAGGCACCAGCCCCAAGGCTGGTGTTCACCCCATTGATGTAGGTGTGGTACAGGAAAGGGCATCAAAATTGACCTGGGGGGGACGCTCAAAGAGGGACCCCTTCAGCTGGGAGTTGGACTCCAAATTTACTTCTGGTGCCCAGCTGCCTGCAGCACAGGACGGGAATGCTTACATAGGTAGCATATTGTGAGAACTGCCCAAAAAAGGTACAGTGAATATTTTTTGCTTGTGGTGTGATTTGAGACATGACGTAGCACAGCAAGCTTCCAGGACAAAGAATGTGATCCGAGTAGGTATCTGATATAATTAAGGATGTATGACTTAAGTACCAGCTCATGGCAGCAGTCTGAAGTGTTTCCATTGGACTGAGATACAACATTGTGGTTTTGCTTCCCATCTAGGGAATTGCAATATGTGCTAAAAATACTGTTGAGCACATGGAAATACAGAGTGTTATCACATGTGGAGGGGGAGAGGGAATGTCAGTCCCAGTAGAAGCACCCACTGAAGAGGGACAACTTAGCACTGAACACTTTAAGGTGAGCCTTTTTTTTGTTGCCAGCAAGGTAAGCTGGGACTAGGTTGCCATTTTTTATACCTCCCTCTCCTTTGTCCCTCACAGGATGATACATCATCTGTTTGGAAGCGAGCCATAAGTAAATAAAACACATAAAGGTAAGCATGTGCACCACATTAAGTCTCAGTTTTCTGCCATACATTTTATTTCTGTAACTACTGAGGATGTTGCTTTCCTCCCTGTGTTTTGTCACAGGAGAAGTCTTTTATTATTTAGCTGTATATAAAGTCACTCATTGCTGGAGAAAACATGGAAGGAGATGCTTGATATACCAGGACTGCAGTGACTACTGCTCTCCTCCAGCCCGTGATGTGCCCTGGCTCTGCTATCCCAACTCTGGGTGGCACACAATGACTGTGATTTACGAGAGCAGCCAGAAGAGAAGGGTTGTTCTGACAACCTTTTTAGAAAAGGTATCCATGACCCTTTTTGAAATGCTGATTACAGAGAGCAGCAGCCGCTGAATTATTTAAATTGCTACATTCAGGTTCCACAGTCATATAATCAGAAGAGAGGGAGCAGAGAAATTTATACGCAGAGTTACTTGTGAAGGACAATAAGGTAATAAACAAAATGTTCTGGATAAATAACAAATTAACCAATGTGATTAGATTTCAGCCTTAGAGAGCTATAGAACCAATTCCTGCCCATTTTACTCATATGAATAGTTTCATTAAGAGCAATCTGCTTCTTAGTAAATTGCCAGTTACAATAAAAACAATTAAACTTATTGCTTTACTTCGTTATTGTTCTTCATTTTAATAATTCTAGTCATAACCCTTAAAACTTTTGCTTTTACACTCCCGTGTTGCAAAATACACTTCAAGCTACTCTGCTAAACCCCTTGGTATCCCAGTTCCGTAGGACCGTGAATTTAGCACCCACAGAAGAGGTAGAGCACAAGTAAATACATCCAGGACAGGTGCATGAGGGGGATGATGCAACCGTCTATTCCCTCTGCCCACAGGAGTAACACAGCCCTGCAGAGCCATGAGGGTGGATCCAGAAGGTGGGACTCCAGTGAATTCCATGCCAAAATGTTGACAGCATCTGATGCACGCGAGAGGTATGCTGAGCACCCAGAACTGCCTGTCCCGCTGAACATAATACTGTGCAGACACCAGCGGAGATAGATTTGAACACAGTAATCATTTATTTGGCATAAAAACAAGACTTATAAATGTATCTGAAGGGTGCATTCCCAAAATCAACAGTCCAAACCCACACGACAATAAAGGTTTTGTAACCTTAATAATGAATTTTGAGAAATTAGCCTCCCTTTTCTTATACCATGAATAGCAATATTAGTAAAGTACTGTTTTTTTTGTTTTTTTTTTTTTTTTTTTAATATTACCTTTTTTTTTTTTTTGTCACATTTTTATGTTTACAATGACTTTTTATGCTACACAGAGCAAGAGGTGGCTATGTATGTATTGGTTAAGAGCAATGAGTTTTCTTCAAAAGAGGTGTTTTCCTTTCCTTTCCTCTCCTATTTAAATCTACTCAGGTGAGTAGCTAGCTTAAAAATCATGATCTTTAATATGTGTGTGTACAACACTTACAAAAACCTGAGAAGATGAGTTGGCAGAATTTCCTGTGATCTTGTGGGTAACACATCATCCCTAAACAACAGCACATTTAGGAAGTAGCTGCAAGTATTTCCTTCTGCCTCTGAGAGGTGACACTCCAGAAGCCTCTTTTGTGCCCCTTCTTCTCAGCAGCATTGCTGAGAAGGTAACTGGCTCTGTGAGCAGAGCAACAGATCTGGAAGGAAAGATTTCACTTTACTGCTCCTACAGATGAAAAGGCAAAAACCAGGTAAAATGACATTAATTTGGATTTTTATACATGCTTCCAAGTGTTGCACTTGAGAAGCCAGCAGAGTTGTGTGCAGGCAATATTCATCCATGTTTCTGGAGTGCCTAGAAACCTCAGTTAGAAAGCTGTTGTGCTGAATGTTGTACAAAACTGGAATAAAAGGGCAGTCCCAAAGAAAGCTGGCAATCTGTGTATGATACAAAAGACTATAAATAAATGCTAACAGATGGAGATAAGGAAATAATTTTGTTATAGGCTGCTCAGTGATCCAAATAAATAGTTTGCAGGGAAGAGAAGAGAAAAGCTTCCTGTTTTCTAGCAAATAGACTGTTTCCAAAATAGGACTTTGCTCAGTATCTTTTTACAATCTGGTTGGAAATTCCCCAGTAGCCTTAAGTCTGTTAAGTCTCTAATGAGTTTGAAGTATTTCATCTTATACTTCTTGCATGCTTGATGAACTCTTGGATGGCCATAAACTGGGATTTCTGGATGAAGGAGGGTCAAGCAGCCTGTGCTAAGGCTGAATGTGGTCCTGTTGGAGTTCCTTGCAATACACTGGTGGTGCTCTGCATCCAGAAACCTTTCACCTCGGGCTCTGGCATAGATTTTTCATGAGAATCAGTCAGAGGCCAGTCTGCTGTCAGTGTCCATGGGTCATGGCAAATGCATCCCAAACAGAAAAGGTCTCTTGGGTCTTTGTATCACACTAGGGATGACACAGTCCTCATCCATACTGGTGCTCCTAGGTGTTACCACAATACAAGTAAGAATAATTGATGGAAACAGATTGCTGAACAACTGGAAGCACAGGTCAAGGACACAAGACATCCTTGCCCCAGCAATTTTCCATTTGCTCACGATGCAAATGTCTCCAGTGACTATCTGACTGTTCCCGTTGCTTGTTCCAGTCTTGTGGGCAAAGCATTAACGGTGATGAACTCGGGGCTCATGTGAGCTGAGCTCACATGGGAAGACAGATTCCAGACCCCTGGTTCATGTCTGTAACTCCGCTGATGGCACGTCCCTAATAAATTGTAGCACTGTGCCCTTTAGTTTCTGCTGCATTAATGTAGACGCATTTAATCCGAGCAGTTCTGCTTAAAATTGGTTGGCATAGTGGGGTTTCTGCTGAAAGATGCTTGAAAAGGGAGAGAAAAAGTTAGTGATATGAAGTGAAGCCAAACTATAAATGGTGTGAACCTTGTTTTCCTTTTCAAAGTAAAATTAAATGTATGCAATCATCTGATTTAAAATGCCAAGATGCTTTTGAAATGTATATAAAATGTTTCATTTTAGTAAGAAGACATGCTGAAAATCTTTTCTGCTACCAAGTAGACATGTGGATGACATTGGCTGGCAGCCTGTTACAACACAGTACAAAGGGATTTTTTTTTCAAACACTGCCACAGAATGATTTATTTATTTATTTTTTTTAATTGAGGTCTTCTTACTATAAAGTCAGTTGACCGAGAAGAATTTCTCATGTTTTGGGTGGTAATAAATCTTTCAGAACAGTGTTAACCAACACCTCGGGCAGTCTTGCTGGTTCGTATTACTTTATACCCCACAATACAGATTTCTGGAATGGGAAAAGGAGCTTAGGTATAAATTTCAAACATTTCCTTCCGAGTTCTGGTCAGCATCATATGACTATGTAAGAGAAATACCAAGGAATTCATTGTTAAGATAAACATGGTAAGCTCCATCTCAGGCTTTAATTTAAAAAAAGAAAACAAACCCAAAACAACCCTCCTTCTCCTCTCCCCCTCCTTATTCCCAACTCAGTGTTCAACAGACTTTGTGAGAAGTCTTGGAACAATTTCCCTTTTCAACACTTCTAATTTAAATGACTTAGTAGAAATGAATATTTCATGGCATATCAGGACTCTGTTCTTCAAAGCTTCATCTCTTTAGTGCTAATTATTTCAACAAGACCTATACTAAAGGCAAATCCTGTCACTTCTCTAGATTGTCTGCATTTACAGTATAAAACTGGCTTCATACAACAGTTAAAGTTCCTGTTTCTGGTGTTTCCTCATTTTCACTTTTTAGAATCCCCCATTTAAAGAAGTGACACAGTTTAAAATGAAACAGGGTTTGGAAACCCTGCAGTTAACCAGCTACCCAGCTATGGCCTCGTTAGCTAAAAGTCAAAAAAAAAAAAAAAAAAAAAAAAAAAAAGCAGGACTATTAAAATTTAATCCCTACCTTCCTCACTCTTCAAGCTTAAACTGTGTATTGCCTGAGCTTAGACACCTCTATGTGTGGAGCTGAGAAACAGTTTCAGCTACACGTCACTTCACTGTCATGGTAAAAACACAACAAAACAAACAAAAACCTTCCACCGGTATTAAATTTGCAATTTGCTGAACCCAGAGGTAATAAAAGAACCTTCAAAACCCAACACTTATTCAGAGACTGTCATTTGATCAAATGAAAAGGTGTTCAGTACAAAGCTGGAAATATTTTCCATGTACCTTGACCAAGGTCAGGACAACTCTGTGCACAACCAAATTTTCATTTACTGTTAGTGAATTTGTTTCAGACACACTTTTGGAGGCTCTTGTCACAGTTCCTTCATGTGCTATGCACACTAAGGGAAACACAAGTAAGGTAATGTCCAGGTTCTTCATCTTACCCTTTGAAGAACCCTCTTCTTCCTCTACTCATATTCAACCTTCAGCAGACCATTTCTCATCAGCTACAACTAGAAAAGAGTATTCCTGTGTCCTGGCTTCTGCCTGACCTTCACAGACTAGCTGAGCGTCCAGGTGGACCCTCAGATTGAGAACCTGAATAACAAAAGCCAGTGGGAATGGCCTACAGGAACACAACAAGGGCTCATGGCGGCAGCCTGCCTACCCCTTGCTGGTATAGCCCTCCAGGTGAGGACATTAAGTGGTTCAGGCAGCTCTGTGTTGACAGAGCAGCCAAAATTAAGAGCACTGCAGTCAAAGAGCAACAAACAGTATGATCAACAGTGGTAATAAGTTCTCCAGGCTGCTTGTTGGGTCACTGGAACAGCCTGAATCTGGAGAAACACCTCAAAGGAGAACAGAGCTGGAGTTTCAGATTTCCACTGCTTGTCCTTCAACTTCTGAGTGGATGCCCAAGATCAGTTCTGACTTTTTGAAATCACTATTCTCAGGAACCAAACTTCACTGCTTCAGATAATCCAGACAGCTTTTCCCTCAATAGCCACATATGGCCATTACTCACACACACAACATTTTCTGACTGAGAATTGGATAGCTCTGCATGCTCTTAGCTCTTACCGGTTCCCACAGCCAGTCTCCCAGGTGCCTAGCATCTTTGTTCATAGTACTCAGACATATGGAATAATTCAAGTTTTATGAAGTGCTGCATTCTGTAAGGATGGAGTTATCATCGCAAAACAACATGCTGGTTATTATCAGACCCTATAGATTTTGACAAGTTTATTAGTTTTAGATGTGGAGCTTAACTAACTCCCATTCCTTGACTATTACAACAGTGATTTTGGCCTCTTAAATACTTAATTAACATGATGAAACAACAAAGTAGCTGAAATGAAAGGAAATGTTGTGGGATTAGCTCTGTATTTAAATGGACCTCTTATTGTATTATTTAGCAAACACAAGGATAAATGCCTGTCAGGTGGTTCTTTTGAGAGAACAGAACAAGTAGGACAATTTGGGGGGACATGGTATGATCAAGATTAAGTCTTTTAAAGGAAAATCCCTCGTGACATTGTAGCTGAAAAAAAACAAGGCATAATATTTTCCATCTGTCCATAAAAGCTATTGCAACGACTTCTGCAACAAAGCTGAGATGGTATCTGAAGATAGCCATTTGGAGCTCTTTGCAGTGTGGCCTTAATGTTTGTATGTATGAACCATCCTGATGTGCACAGATTATATTCAAATGCAAAAAATTGTTTCTCTATTTTAGATGATAAAACACTTAAAGGAGTTTCACAGAATTCAACAGCAGTGTTTACGAATGAGAGGCAGATCACAGTATCAGTGTTCACAGCTATTTAGCTTTTACTGCAGCTCTTCTCATGTTTTTTTCCTCAGTTTTATCCCACTTCTGTTGGGCTTCTGACCATATAAACTGTATGAACAATTGTACTTCTGTCAGGCTGGTGACCCTGTTGGAACTGCCAGAATCTCACCAGGCTGATAAATCTGTTTGATAGCTGCTGCCAGACATAACGAGGACATCCACCGATGTCAGTAAAGCTATTTGTGAAGTGAGGCACCACTC